ACAATGTGTTATAAAAATATTGCAAATCTTCGAGATTTCAGAGAGAAGAAATTAAACAGCACGACGAGAGGGGGGACTCAGGTTCTCGGAAGAGAAGTAGAATATAACTATTTTATATCTTGGAACGAATTTGCAGAAATACAAAGCGATGAACATGCGAGTGGAACATAAATCCGGGGAGGAGTTGGTGAACATAATCAGCGAGAACGTCGGCAGAATGCTCCGAAGGAAGATGGATGCAGTGACCTGCATCCGGATGGCGGCTGAGGAACAAGCGGAGAATTGGGAAAACAACGAGGAGGAGGGGAACTTCACTTACGTTTCCGGGAAGTATAGTCCAGTCAGCCTGACGCAAACAGAAGACGAATCAAACACGACGCGACTACAAATTCCGTCCAACATGAAGAAAAACATCGATGCTTACAGGTTCATGAGAAAATTGCGTTTGATCGATTTAAGTTTTTTTTACTGTCGAACGAGACGAAGATTTATTTATTTACTTCGTATCTCACTTCACTTGTTCAGTGAAGTATATATTCATTAAAAAAAAAAAAATATCAGTTGTCCTGTAATCGAAGCATTTTGATTAGTGGTGTCGGATGGAATTAGGCTGCAGAAGCTTGATCGATTCGTAGGTGAACGCTCGAGCAATGTGTCTTGGTCTGAATAACTTGAAGCAATTAATGCAATAAGCTTGAAGCAATTTGAATAGACACGTTTCGATAAATTCGAGACACGTTATCAGTACACTGATAACATCCTTCCTCCATGAGCGACGGAAATAATTTATTTATTTTTTCATTTCATTGAACACAGTTAGCATAATTATTGAAAATATTTACAGAGAGATACAGTTAACGCCGGACTCGCATTTCTACAACATACCGGTGAATACGAGCTTTTCGTCGGTGCACATACCTACAAACGTGTACGACATGTCGCCAACGGTGGTCGAGGATATTAAGAAAACCGAGATCCTCGACGATACTTTCCGGCAAAACTATGAGTCAGATCCGGCCCTATCTTGGCAGTATTTCGGCTCTGTCACGGGGATGTTGAGGCAATATCCTGCCATGCAGTGGAGAATAATAATTGAGGATGATGCGGATGAAGATGAAGCTGACATTTACGACTGTAGAGTACGCAGTTGGTTCATCGAAGCAGCGACCTGCAGCAAGGATATGGTAATCCTGATGGACACCAGTGGCAGCATGACGGGCATGGGGAAAACAATTGGTGAATGGAGAGCCATTAATATTTCAACTCTCAACAAAATATTCTTTATTAACTTTGATTAAGTCTTAATGTTTCTTATTATCTCTCTCCTCGATTTATAACTATATTTTTACATGCACGCGTTATTAGTATATATTATATACTAATATTATATATTATATATTATATATATTATATACTAATATTATATACTATATATATTATATACTAATATTATATATTATACATTATATATATTATATACTAATATTATATACTAATATTATATATATTATATATTATATATTATATATTATATGTTATATGTTATATGTTACATGTTATATATTATATATTATATATTATATATTATATACACGTGCACTACATTATTAGTATTAATAGACTGACATTTGCAACAGTCTATCTGGCCTGACCTCCCGTTAGAACGACAGTTAGACTTGCGGTTGATCTGTGTAAACTGTGCAATGCGCGTTTGGAACGCGCTGCGAGTCTGAGGTTACACGTGCGCATTGTTGCAAGGAAGGCAAGATACCGATTGTATCCCGCGAAATTTTAGACGATCACTTCATTACTTCGAGTTGTAATATGACTCGAAGTGAAACAGTTATTTTAGCGATGTAAAGATTATCATCGTTCCAATCTTTCTTTTCTTTTCAACACTAAATCTACGAAGCGGGGTCAAACGATACTTTTTAAAATTTTCGTTTCAAATATCCTGCATACGATGTTACTTAACCTCACTTTTCTTATACGTTATACGTACAATGTAGTTTTTAATATTTTTTAATATTGTTATTGTTATTATTTATTTATTTATTATTTATTATTATGCTATTATTTATATTGTTCATTTTTTGAAAAAAATTTGTGGTCTGAGGGGTCATTTGGCCATACTTATATTCTTCGTCTTCTATTATCTTACTTGCTATCTAAATTAACATTGTTCGTTCGAGAGTATGCCTAGCAATTTTCTCGTTATAAATATGCAAAAAATGGGATCCAGTATTTTTTCTCCAATAACTATGAGCAGAAATGACTGCAGAAGTTATAAGAGTTATAATGCAGAAGTTATTTCAATTGAGAGAAGAGCAACAAAAGGACCATCAAAAACAATCACAAGTATAACTACAGGTTCATGTGACTGGCAAAAATGCCAGATAAGATTTTGCAAAGGCAATAATTTATAAACAATGTGGTGAAACTGAATGAAATAAACGTTACTTATTTCGATTAAATGTAAAAAAAATATTTTGCTCGCTATCTAATTGTTTATGATCTTCATTAAGAAATATGGTTTGTTTTTCAAAATGGTCACATGACCCCTCACGGTAGCAATAGGCATACATGAAGTCTCGGTAGGTTTAGTGTTAATCATAAATGTGAAATGTTCAAACTGTTTATCTATATATTTGTAAAATATATACCTTTTCAGCAAGAACCACAGTTAACGTGATACTGGACACACTTTCAAACAACGACTTTGTGACTGTATTGAGCTACACGAATGAAACGTACGACGTGGTACCCTGCTTCAAGGACATGCTGATCCAAGCCACTCCCGAGAACGTGGATACTTTCAAGAAAGCTATAATAGATGTCAAAACCGAAGGGCTCGCTAATCTCACGGAAGCATTCTCCAGAGCTTTCAATCTCCTAAGCACATACAGGGAGACACGCGGATGTGGTGTCAACGCATCATGCAATCAGCTAATTATGCTCGTCACCGATGGCGTTCCTGGAAATCTAACAGAGGTTGACTCATACTTGTTCATAAAACATTACCTCCTCCCTTTTTTCTAGTAGACAGATCCACTAATCAGACTGATATATCTTGAAAGAAATGATTTTATCTAATGAGATGATCATGCTTCAACCAAATTAAGGCTAATGATGATGAAACAATTTTCTAGGGAATCTACATACACTATATATATATAATATATTGTTTCTATTTTATGTACATCCATTTGAATATTATTATTCATAAGATAGAAAACAATTCCTCTAATTAAGCGCTTCATCATGCAAAAGACAATGTCTTCTTCTATAAATCATTTCACCTTTAAATTACGCTATTATTATAATAATTTGATTTGAATCATGCTCGTATGAAATTTGTATTATCGATCGTTCAGCGAGACCGCGTTAAAATGAAGCTAATTGTAGATAAAAGTAGATTTGACGAGCGTGATTTCTACCGGAAAGAAAGATCGCGTTTCAACCTCTTGGCGAGCAGCTCTTCAGTTTTATGAGATCCCACTCGAGCCGGCGAGAATCATAGCGATCTCTGTCTTTCTATCTCCACCTCTCTTTCTTCTTTTCCACTCTTCTCATCTCTCTCTCTCTCTCTCTCTCTCTC